TTCTCCCAGGATGGGAGAAGCATGCTGAAAGTAGACTATAGACCGAATGTGCTTGCCACTCAATGGCTCTTTTGCAAACCACAGCACCCAAAAGGAGAGAGAGAACAAAAGGGAATGCCCTGCCACAGAAGCGGGGGGGGGGGGGGGGGGGGGATGGGGGGGAGGGATACTGGGATCCGTGGTGGTGGAAAATGGGAACTGGTGGAGGGATGGGTACTTCATCATTGTATAATTGAAACCCAAGCACAAAAATTTGTAAATCTACAACTGTACCTCTTGGTTTGTCACTAATAAAAATTAAAAAAGAAAAAAGCAAACTTTCAATAAAATTCAACATCCATTCATAATTTGGAAAAAAGAAAGCCTCAACAAAATAGTGTTGGAAGGAAACTTTCTCAAGATAGTCATGGTAAACCTAAAGCCAGTATCATTCTCAATGGTGAAAAAACTGGACACAATCCTGAGGTACAAGAAAAGGATGTCCACTGTCTCAGTTTTTATTCAATACAGTATATTAGAAGTCCTAGCACCAGCGACCTAGCATGAAAAAGTAATCAAAAGGATCCAAATTGGAAAAGCACTGTAGCACTGTAGCACTGTCCTCCCGTTGTTCATCTATTTGCTCGAGTGGGCACCAGTAATGTCTCCATTGTGAGACTTCTTGTTACTGTTTTTGGCATATCAAATATGCCATGGGGAGCTTTCCAGGCTCTGCCGTGCAGGCGGGATACTCTCTATAGCTTGCTGGGCTCTCCAAGAGAGACTGAGGAATCGAACCTGGGTGCAAGGCAAATGGTCTATCACTATGTGCAGATACTGTGTAAATCATGGTGCTTCAATTGTTTTTAAAAAATCAATTTAAATGGACACCCAGCCCCTGCTCATGGATCGGGAGAAATAACATTGTCAAAATGGCAATAATCCCCGAAACATAATCTCCACATATTCAATGCAGCCCCTATAAAATACCCATGACATTTTTTCAAAGAGATAGACAAAACCCCCACAGATAGCTAAAGCAATCCTTGGGAGAAAGAAGATCGGTGGCATCACCTTCCCCAATTTCAAACTACTACAAAGCTGTAGTAATTTAAACAGCATGGTATTGGAATAGAAACAGACCCACAGACCAATGGAACAGAGTTGAATATTCTGACACATTCTCTCAAGTATATGATCACTTAATCGTTGATAAAGGAGCAAGGAATATGAAGTGGAGCAAGAAAAACCTCTTCAACAAGTGGTGCTGAGAAAACTGGACAACTACATGCAAAAAAATGAACTCGACCCCTGTCTAACGCGAAGCACAAAAGTCAGATCCAAATGGATTAAAGACTTCAGACCTGAATCCATAAGGTACATGGAGAAAAATGTAGGCAGAACCCTCCATGTTATTGACCCTAAAGGCATCTTCAAGGATGAATCACAACTGACCAAGTAAGTGGAAACAAATATAAACAAATGGGATTACTTTAAACTCAGAAACCTCAAAAGAAACAGTGACCAAAATAGAGAAAGGGCCCACAGAATGGGAAAAATTATTTTCCCAATGTCCATAAGATAGGGGCTTAATATCCAGGATATACAAAAAAACACTGGTAGAACTTTACAAGAAAAAAACTTCCAACCCCATCAATAAATGAGGAGATGAATAGAAACTTCCTCAAAAAATAAATTCAGATGGCCAAAAGGCACATAAAAAATGCTCAACATCACTAATCATCAGGGGGATGCAAATCAAAACAATGAGATATCATGTCACACCACAGAAACTAACACACATTAAAAAGAACAAGATCAACCAGTGCTGGCGCGGATGCGGGGAGAAAGGAACGCTCCTTCATTTTTGGTGGGAATGCTAACTGGTTCAGCCTTTTTGGAAAACAATGTGGACATTTCTTAAAAAACTAGAAATTGAGCTCCCATATGAGCCAGCAATACCACTTCTGGAAATATATCCCAGGGAAGAAAAAAAAGCATAGTACAAATGACACCTGCACTTGTAAGTTTATTGCAGCTCTGTTCACAATAGCCAGTATCTGGAAACAACGTGAGTACCTGAGAACAGACAACAGGTTAAAGAAACTTTGGTACATCTACACGATGGAATATTATGCAGCTGTTAGAAAAAGATGAAGTCATGAAATTTGCTTATAAGTGGATGATCATGGAGAATATCATGCTAAGTGAAATGAATGAGAATGAGAGGGACAGACATAGAACGACATAGTGTTCATTTGTGGAATATAAAGTAACATAACAGGAGACTAACACCTAAGGACAGTAGAGATAAGGGCCAGGAGAATTGCACCATGGCTTGGAAGCCAGCCTCACATGCTGGGGGGAAAAGCAGCTGAGATACAGGAGGGACCAGCAAGTAAATGATGGTTGGAGGGATAGCTCGGGATGGGAGATGTGTGCTGAAAGTAAACTACGGATCAAACATGATGGCCTCTTAATTACCTGTATTGCAAACCATAACACCCAAAAGGAGAGAGAGAGTAAGAGGGAAATGTGCCTGCAACAAAGGCAGGAGATGGGAAGGGATGGGTGTAGCAAGAGGGATACTGGGAACATTGGTGGTGGAGATTGGGCACTGGTGGAGGGATGGGTGCTCAATCATTGCATGACAGAAACATAACCATGAAAGTCTAAGTCTAACTGTATCTCACGGTGATTCAATTAAAAACAGAAAAAAATTAGTTTAAAGATACATTTCTTGAGGATCCCATGGTAGAAATTATAAATGTTGACATATTCTGTATATGAAGTATCAAAACTAATATCTGACATTATTTTTAAAAAGGGAAGGGGCTGGATCGATAGCACAGCAGGAAGAGCATTTCCCTTGCACGCGGCTGACCCAGGTTCGATTCCCAGCATTCCATATAGTCCCCTGAGCACCGCCAGGGGTAATTTCGGAGTACAGAGCCAGAGTAACCCCTGTGCACCCCCGGGTGTGACCCAAAAAAAAAAAAAGAAAAGTGAAAATGCTGATTTCACAATAAAGCATTACTGAAAAATATTGGAATGATATAAAAATAGTATCAATATAAGTCCTACACTCATGGAGATTTTATCATACAACTGACAGGTGGAATTGCAGCAGAGGGTCCTGGAGGCTTTGGGGGAGGCAAAACAGTATTTTATGGTCAAAGAACCTACAGATACAAATATACTCTTTCCTTCATTTTATTAGATGTTAATTGGTGATACAGAAAAACCTACCCAGATTATGAAGTAAAACTTTTCCATTTTTCAAAGTCACTGAAGTGAAGCAACAAAGCATGACCGAGTGAAAGGAGAACAGCTCAGCCTCATTTGATTGGGGGATCCTTGGTCAATTACTCCAGCCCATTTCCTGTTCCCTGCATTGTCACAGTCCCCATCAGAGACTTGAGAAACGGCACTGGGCAGACAGGGTACAGAGCCAACACTCTGAGCTACAAGGGACCTTTTTCCCAAGGTGGGCACGTAGGTCTGTCGAGAACTCCCGCAGAAGTTTAAGATTTGCAAGCATTTGAATTATTTTGTGGTTTTAGAACTGACCTCTTCCCATGTGAAATAAAGGAATTGTCCTGTGGTTTTAATATACACCCACTTTTCCAGGAAAACCGGAAAACTGACCTGTGTAAGACAAGGCACAAGGGTAAGACTTTTGTTGAGAACTGGTCAGGAGTGCCAGCTGGTGAACAGCTCTGAGCACCTCTCCATGAGCCAGGCACCCTGCCCAAGTGGCTGCTGTACAGCAGTGACACCCTGCATTTGGGGCGGGTGATTCTACAGACAGGTGCAGACACAACTCACAGCTTAATTTTGCTCTTTTTAGATGTTTATACTTTTAACTTTTTATCATTAAAAATTAAGTTATTAACTTTTTTTCCTTTTTTCTGCTTTACTTGATAGCTAAGGATACAGTGTGTTTCTACACCTGGATTACATTAATTTTGAGTTCAGTATAGCGAGAATAAAATAGGTATTATAGCAAGGTCAAGGTTTGGGAGAGGCAAGGCCACCATGGGGCTCATTCAAGCTCCTCCCTTGCCCCAGGCCACTGATTACTGATAATCAAGTCGGATGAAATTTCTTTCTCCTTCCAGTATTCTGCCTTACCTCCCAGTAATGACTGCACAAATGCACAGAGGGAGAAAAACTAGGATTGAGAGCACTAGCCTCCACAGGATGAGGCTGAGGTCTCTGTCTCTGTCTTTCAGCAGGAGGGACTTAGAGAAGTCATGCTCAGGAACAGAGCAGTACTCAGGGGTCACATGCTGTGTGGGGGGAGTGAGCGGGGATCAGCCACATGTAAGGCAAAGGTCTTATCTCCATCCAGCCCTGGAAAATTTGTTTTCTACACCAAAAAACCTCAGATGTAGTCGTGAGGATTGAAGGTAAGAAATGGTGTGGTGCCCTTTGAGACTCTCCCTTGCCTCAAGGCTCAAAGCCAACGCGGCCCTTTAGTCTGGCTTGTGTTCAAGGTTGCTTTGATGTGACACAGAGGAGGGAGATTGAGACAGTGACACTGAACTCTTCCTTGAACTTCAATTTCAACGAGGTATCTCGCTATAAAAAAAAAAAATGAAGGGATCCTAACTTAACATTCATAGTGACCCATGATTTAAGGTTAAATCATTTTTGCTAGATGAAGTTCCCAAGATTTTGTAAAGGGCTCGGCAGAGCATATAAGGTGGGTCCTGGGTAGCTTCTATAATAAAATGAGGGCATTCAAATATAAAACATATCCTGGAGAGGAAGGCAAAACAGTGAGCAATTGTCTCCAGGCTGGCTTCTTACCCAAAGCACTGTTGCACACACATAAAGTGAGAAAATTCTCCCTGGCAAGCAGCTTCTCTAACTGATCCATGATTCAACCCAGCTGCATCCTCTGAGAAGGGGAAGAGAGAAGCCATTGGACTGAATTCCTTTCAGTTATCCTCCTCTACATTTCGTCTGAAGTCGCACGTACCTTTGCCCCACCTGAGCTAGGACTGTAAGACTGTCTTCCACACCTTCAGAACCATTAACTCTCCAATATTGTTCTCAAGGTAATATCAACACAAGAAATTATGAGTTTAGGATCAATCAATAAACTTTAAGAATTTGTCTTTGGAATTCAAGGCCAAGATTTTTTTCACTATGCCTTATTTAATGGCTTTTTTTTTTAAGCCTCGTTCATATTTCAGGCCAAAAAAAAAGAAAAAGCTGAAACCTATGGCATGGACTTTGCTTCAAATGAATATGATCCTAAACACCTAGGCAAGAGTTTTTATCGAATTGATGGCATCCGTAGCTATAAAATAAAATAGAATGCAATATCTTTGACGTTGTAAATGCTCTAAACCAACGCATTTAACTTTCTGTGTGGAGTGATACACAGAATTGCCTTTTCACATTATCTTAAGTGATGCTTAAGCAGGTCCAGCAGGAAGATGGAGACACTGGGGAGGACGTGGTTGCGAATGTTCTATGGCAAAAGAACATGTCAAGTAGTTCAAAACCCTGTGGAGAGAGACAGATGGTTGGTTTGTCGGGAAGTTATTAGAGCAGGTGGTCTAAGGTGACCCTCCCTTAGGCTGAGAGGGTGTTAAGAGGATGGAAAGGAAATGGGAGGACCATCCATGGTTTTGTTGTTGTGGGGTTTTTTTTGTTGTTTGTTTTCGTTTTTGTTTTTTTACTTTTTAGGTCACACTCAGCGATGCACAGGGGTTACTCCTGGCTCTGCACTCAAGAATTACTCCTGGCGGTGCTCAGGGGACCATATGGGATGCTGGAAATCGAACCCGGGTTGGCTGAGTGTAAGGCAAACACCCTACCAGCTGTACTATCGCTCCAGCCCCCCATGCTCCTTTTAGTACACTCTCTCCAATAAAGGTGCCTCCAGCTAAGCCATGGGAGCTGTCCAGGTCGTATCAGCCAGAGACCCCACAAAGGAAGGTGTCAGGCAGGAGGGAAGATGTTCCCTGGGAAGAGAAACATTCCTTTTGCTGAGTACGAAAAAGAAAATGAGTGGTAAGGGCCAAGAGATTGTACAGTGGCTAGGGCACCTGGGTTTGATGTCCCACAGTCCCACAGTCCCCCTGAGCATTGCCAGGTGTGGCCCTGGATGCACCCAAAGTACTGTGGGTGGTAGGGGGTAAGCTCTGCAGGTCCCCAACAGTCCTGGAACCACAGGGCCAAGGCAGTATTTTGTCCTTGGGCCCTTGCACTGAACTGAGGGCTAGATGACTAAGAACAGCCAGTGGTGCTCCTGGACCTCCTGAGAATCCCTTGGGAGAGACCCCCTCCCCCCACACACACACACTCACACACACACACACACACACACACAGTACTACAAAGCAGAAAATATGGTCTACCTGAACAACCCCACTTACTTGGCAATACACATCTTATTGGAGAAGGACTTCGACTTCGAGATATCTGGAAAATATAAAAGTATCATATAAGGGCCCAGAGAGATAGTACAACGGGTAGGGCATTGCAATGTGGCCAACCTAAATTCTGTTCCCAGCACCCCAAATGGTTCCAAGTCATCCAGAAGTGAACCCTGAGTGCAGAGCTAGGAGTGAGACTGAGGGTGTGCCCCCCCCCACGGTGTCATATAAATTGCAAGTAGAGTTTAATAAATTTTAAAATAATTTTTCCCTAAAACTAGCTGAGCAATTACTCTAAGAGCTGTGACATTCCTCTATGTTTGAGGACCAAACTTCCATATGTATTTTGGGGTACATTTTTGGTGCAGGGGGATCCAGCCCAAGGTCTCACACACTTGCAAGGCAGTTGCCCTGCTGCTGAGCCCCAGCCCCTCCTGACAGAACCCAAAGTAAAGAAGCATTCCCAGCTTAGATTACAATACTCATGAGCAGCTGGGTTCAGTTGTCTCTATTTTTGTTTTAATCATCACTAAATATTGAGCTTTGATGCTTAATGACTATATTAAATTTAGGATTTTCCAGATGTGTTACCTATCCAATATGCCTCCTTACTAAGAAAAGTCCCTGGGTATAGTCAGGATAAGATCATTTTTCAGATCTCATCTCCACTTTCATTAAGCAAAGCCAACTTAATGGGCACCTAAGGATCTGCTTTGGCCCAGATAACAGAGGCTTCCAGCAGCTTCCTGCTCTAGACTTTCAAACATTTTAAATAGTTGCTACTCAAAATGCAAGCTCTTTTGGATGCACCTTTTAAAAAAAATCTCATTGTATAACTGAAGCCCAAGCACAAAAATCTGTAAGTCTACAACTGTACCTCATGGTATTTCACTAATAAAAATTTTTAAAAAAAAATCAAATAAGCAACCATACTCCCTGTGCCCCCCCCCAAAAAAAAAGTAGTCAAACTACTTTTATTTTATTTAATCTGGCAGGTTTTATCCAACCTGTTGTAAGATGATGTGGAAAGGGGTAGAAAGTTGCCAGCAAGTTTGTCTTCAATAATCTACTTTCTCATGTAAAGCTTAAGTTACTTGACTATCCCTAGACACAAAGTCAGAAAGAGGAGGAAGTGGTAGAAAGCCATAGAGGGGCTTCTTACAGAGAGGCTGCCCATCTTTAAGGCTTCCAATAAGACAAACAATGGCTGCAAAAAAAAAGAATACCAAAAGTTGTCTGTTATTATTCCTTCTTCTGATATGAGGCTTCCCCTTAGAAAGAACAGACTTATGATTCTTCAGTTTGAAACTCGCAAATCTTCCTTTTACTCAGTTTACCAAATGCACTACTCTTTTGCTTCTTTCTACTGTGAACACTTATTCCTCAATAAAGATGATTACATTCTATTTAAATCTCCAAAAGCAAAAGAGCAGACACATGCCCTTTTTCATTATCAGGTCATTTCCTGCATCCCTATATCCCTACCCAATTTCCCAGCCCACTCAACTTCCAATCATTCTGATCAGCCAGCTCAAACATTAACTCCACCACAAACCCCTTGCTCACCATCAAATCCACCAGGAACCTCTATCTCCTCTGTGCCACCTCGTGCCTCTTTGATGAACTGGATCATGTATCACACTCTGTTACTTGGTTTAAATCATATTGGTAATCCTATATTGGAACCCATTCAGAAAAGAGAGCAATTTTTATCCATTTTTGTGCTACCCCTCCCAAACTTAGCATCCATCAGCTACAGAAGGAAAGTGTCATAAAGAGCAAACTGGAGTAACATCAGCTGGTCATTACACTCAGCAGGAAGGGTAGGGCTCTTGTTAACTGCAAAGGGGTTTCTTTTACTGGATCAAGCTTTCTGCTTTTTTGTTTGCTCAGCAGGAAAGCTAGAGCCGCATGGCAGGAGGTCGTTTCAGAGAAGCACAGATGTGGCTCTCCTCCACTACTCCCCCTTGAACAAGTCTGCACAAATATTTAGAAAATTTCATTTGAGGGAACCATCACTCTGGTGTCCACATGTCTTGGTCCAAGCCTGCACTCAAAGACAATTAGGACTGACTGAGTAGACAAACAGCTATGACTTTTTTTTTTTTTTGCTATCGTAGTTGCTTTCCCTGTTATTTTCTTTGATGGAGATAAATAATCCTCACAAGAATGAGAAAAACTCATCTCACTCTTCATACTTTGAAACTTGGAAGAGAGTTTGTGTCTGCAATGCTCTGTACAGAAATATGCCCTACACTGAAATCCAGACCATTGGAGCAATGTCTCAAAACATGTAAAAGTTGCAGAGAAAGAACCTGTGTCCTGATCAATTGATTAAGGAGTCCCACACTTTGACATCTAACAGTCCATTTCCAGCCAAGGATCAAAGGAGCGTAAAGCTATTCTTAAAATGCACCAAGAAAAATCTGCTGTGCCAGGAAGAGCACTCAATGGTCAGGAAAGAGGGCATGTGCAAGGGCCTGAGTTCCATCCCAGCACTGCATGGCATAAGCACACACCATGGGGGCCCTGAGACCGCCACCTCAACACTGCAAGCCTGGTGGCTGCCAGAGACACAACCTGGGCAGCACCACAATGCCAGGCCCAAGCACCAAACCAACTGGGCCAGTTAGCCAAGTATACCAGGGAATGACCCCTGGGCTCCTGAGCATAGTAGGAGAGGAGAGGAGGGAAGGGGAAGAGAAGAGAGGGGATGGTAGGGGAGTATAGGAGAGACAACTACCTTCACTTCCCTCTTTCTAGAACAAAAACTTCCTTAGCCTGGGGGAGCAGAAAATAGATCTGGGTTATTTCAAGGGGTGCTCTTTTTACCTAGAGACTTATATTCACCATGTTAGGGCAAGTACTCAAGGCCTCCTGTTTACCTAGAGTCTGTGGTGGGTGACTGACAATACCTCATGCCCACCTGCCTCGGAATGCACGTTTCAGCTGTCTTCCCTCTCCCAGCAGCTACCCAAGGTCATGTCTTCGAATCAACTGCATTACTAAAACCATCTGGACTATGCATGGGTGAGTGAACCCAGTTAATGCCTTTACATAAACTTTAAAAGCTTGGAGACAAGTGCAGAAAACCACAGGTCAAGTGATTTGGCAAATTTACTTTGTCAAGATCAAGTCTCCATTGAAGTCCCTGGGGCAGAAAAACTGCCACCTGCCAATCTGGGGGGGGGGGGGGGCGGGGGTGGATGGAATGGGGAAGGGCTCTGCCTCTTGCTCTCTGTTCTGTCCTTGCTCCCATCTGTAGACAGCTGAGTGCTTCAGATTCCCTCTGGCTGATGAGGCAACAATTACTAAGTCAGCAAGGAGATCACAGGAAAAAGACACAGAAAGAGGCTGGGGGCAGGGGAGTAGTGGGGTAGGAGGAGAGGTGGGAGGAGTCCCATGCAGGATGTGGCTCCAGGTGCAGAGGGGTGGTCCATGGGGCAGCCACGAATGCATCGAATGCATCGTGTGAAGCAAGACCTCCAGATGCTTCTCTGTGCTCAGATGATGTAAAGCTATCTGGTATCTCCACTGGATTGGAGAATTTACTAAATTCACTACTGCTAAGTCAATAGAGCCCCAAGACAAGCAAGAGGAAACCCAGTCATGCCTGCTGGAGGCAGAAAGTCCAGTTCATAAGCTGGGAGAGGGGCCCAAGGCAGGGCTCACCAGGGAAAAAGCACCTGCCTCATATGCGCAAGGCCATAAGTTGGATCCTCGTGACTCCTGTTCCCCACATGTCCCACTTGTGGTCCTAGCAGCTCTGCTCTCCGCAATCCCCAGTGCCACAACAGAGGGTGTGATCTCCAGCACACAAGCATGTGTACAAGAGCACTGGCTGTGAATGCCCAGAACAAGAGTTCAAGTCTTGGAGGGCATTACAACTAGAATGCGTGCAAGTGCCTAAATTGCTATGCGAGTGCAACCTCTGGCATCACAAGCTAGCTTAAGTCAGTTCCCTCTCCACCCAAACAGGGCATCTCTACCATGGCAACACAATGGGCAGGGAGGAGCCAGAATAAGAACTACACATAGGACATTTACTAAGTCCTTTTGTAAAAATGAGATTTAGGTTCAAGCACTTGTAACAAAGCCTGATTAGACCATGAAGAACTGGTATCACCAGCAAGTGAGAAGAGAAAAAAATTAAATAACAATTACACCAAACTTTTTTCCCTCCACTTGAAACAATAAATCTAATCAATCCTTGAAATAAAAAACACTTAGGGAGGTAACCGAAACAGTGCCTAAGAGACTGAAGGGGGAAATGACAGGGATTTTAAATTCAGACTCTCTTTAATAAACAGTCTTCACCTTGTGAATGCTGATTTAATAGATAAAATTTTGAAATTTATAACCAATACCATGCTATACATCTTGAATGCTTAACGACCCACTCCTGATTATCCTGATTATCTGCCTCCTGGCTTCCTAAAGGACTAAAGTACCACCCCAGGCTTGAATTATATGTGTATGATCATTCAATAGGACTAGTCACCTTCTATGCTGCCGAGGTAATGAGGGTCATGGATAACTGTCCTTCCTTTGACACTTCCCACAAAAGAACATGCAGTGCTGCTAAGAACACCAAGCCCGTTATATCTGGAAAAGGTGTCATGCGTTGGAATTAGCAGAGATGTCCCAGTGAGACAGGTAAGTGGTTCTGTACTCCTCAGTAGAAAGGAAGGACTTAGTCCCTACCAGAAACCCATTGCTGTGCTGCAAGTTGAACCTACTGAGATGAACTGGAATGGATGGGACCATGATGCACCACTGAATGAAAGGTGGAGGTGGGATCCTGGTACAGCTTATCCCCACCCCTCAACTCCATCTCCTCACACCTGACATAGCAAACAACTTGTACATATACAACTAGGTCAAGCTCCCTCTTGTCAAGACTTAACACATGTTCTATGTCCACTGGTGTCATCAACTGGCCACCATCTTTGCTCCCTCCATTGACCTGGAGAACTTACAGAATGTAAAGAAGCCCTTGCTAACTTTGCTCAGCAAGCCTGGAATGATAGCCAACCAAGTCTGCCTCTATGAAACACTGAAGTGTTTCAAATGAGCAAAGCTGTCCCCCAAGATGGAATGCCCTTAGACATTACAACATCCTCACAGGGAATTACCTTGGTCATTATCCAGAGTAATGGTGGTGGAAGTGGTGACAACTATACACATAGAGAGGGATGGAACCAAGTCTCTGAAATTCCACAATATTGTATGCTAATGTTAGTTGTTGTTTTTTTTAAAAGCCCTCCCCATACCAAGTTGCACGGTCTCCGGTTTTTCTTTTTTCTTTAATTTTACTCTTTTTTCTCTTTGAGGAATTTCAGATTACCTCTGGGGTGTGACCCAACACCTCTTTCATAGGAAAGTGTTGAAGATAAGAGAGTCACCCATAGATGAGTTGTGTATAGACAATTCAGAATGTAAATGTACCATGTTTAAACAATTGTGACTACGGGGGTAGACGGGACTTAAACTCCTGCTTCGGCATCGAGTTACAGATCGCACTGAATTCCACTGAAAAAAAAAAGACAAAACAGTGACTACCTCGTCATAATTTAGACATAACTTAAAACAGTATGCATATGCCGTAGATTGAAAGATTTAACTCATACTACTATACTACTACAAGTCAGAATATGGAATATTTCATTTCTTATAGGTGTCCAATATTTGATAACAAATTTAGGGTATTTCTTAAGTAAAATCCATTATATGAAATCTGGAATGTTCAACTTCTTCGTTCTTGTAGAATTTTGTTTTGAGGAGTATGCTGTTAAAAAGAAGAACACTTAGGTTTGCAAGTACTAGAGAATATAAGTTCGCCATGGGCAGGGATTTGCATTGTTTTGTACATTGCTAAATGCCCAACACCTGGATATGATCATAAATAACTTTGAAAAAAATTTAAGGAAACTAATAAGTGAGTGGTTGAACACTGCTACCCAACTACTTTCTAAATTAAACGATGAATAAAAAGGAAAGTATATTCACTATAATGGACTTCACTAGCAAAAGCCTTCCTACAAATTTCCCTTCATCCAACCCTTTCCTCTTCTGAGTGCACCCTTTTAAATTTTCATTTTGTTTTAGGAGACTGGAAAAATATTGATAGCAATATACTTGATGGAAAAGAAGGAAGTTATAAGGCAACTGTTATTTGATACAGAAAATAAAAATAGTTCCCATTGCCTTTTCTTCCATTCCAAATTACACTGCAGGTTGTCTTCACTAAGTATTTGACCACAAAGGATGATCACTGTAGGGGTCCAACACATGCTTTCTGAGCTCATTTAGAAAGCCCATGCTGTTGTCAGATTAACACAATACCATGGGCTCAAGCTTCAAAGTGCAAGTATTTTTCTTGAGTTACTACTAAGCTTAATGAATCACTTCAGCTGCAATAGGCTTTTTCTTAGGTTTCTTAGCACTACCCTCCCTTGTTCACGCTATGTGAAAAATGGCTGTGTAGCACTTGCCCCCATTCTCCAGTGTAAAGAGAACCACTCAGGTGGCGGTGTTGGTGCTTCAGATTTTCACTTCCCTCTCCAGGAAGGACAGGGAGGACACTCTATAATATGAACCCAACAGAGCACTCACACACACCCAGGCTCCCAATTGCAACACCCACTCCTCACTCCAGCAACTGCACTCACACACTTGCACACCCAAAACGCTGTTTGGACACCACCCAATGACAGAACAAGCCCAAAGCTTTCCTCAGTCCATGTGTACATAACAACCGTCCAGCACCTATTAGCTCCTCACCCCCCTTTTCTTCCTCCGTCTAAACTCATGCCAAGGAGAGAAAAATTAAGCATGCTCATTGTTTCCCAACGTGGAGGATCATCCATAAAAACGTGGCAAACTGTTTCCTGAAAGCTAATTAATCATTTTTGAAATGCTTAGAATTATACAGGGCCTCCAGTACAGTGAAGTCCATTGGCTTTTTGCCCTTTTCATGGCATCGTGTATCTAAGAATGGAGCAGGCAAATAGGACAAGTGGACTTGTTTCCTGTGGTCAGGAAAATGACCAGGGAATGAATATGAAACATCATGGAATAGAGAAAAGAGCAGTACTTTCCCCTTGCCAGTTCCTTTTCTCTCCTTGGTATGAAATTTTATCCAGCAACTGCTTTTAAACTTCTTTTATAGGATCTCGGGGTTATAAATGTTCTCGAACTTGTGGCATAAACACTTGGGATGAATTGTCACAATGCAAGGCCACCGTACAAAAGCCCCTCTCTTGGTGACAGCTTCTCCCTTCATAATGACAGTGTCATTCTCCATGAGAGCAGGCCACACGTGGTAGAAGACCAAGGGAGCAGTGAAATCAGAGTCATAGCTGCGGCGGTACCTGTGTTAGACACAAAAGAAGGAAGAGGAGTTAAAAAGTCCTGCACCCTAATGGGCATGGAGGGGAACAGAGGTTCAATCCCCAGCACCCTGTATAGTTCTCCAAACACTGCCAGGAGTGATCTCTGAGCAGAGCCCAGAAGCATACCCTGAACACTGCTGAGTATGATCCAAAAACAAAACAGAAACCAATTAATATCACATCACAGTCACATGTGATGTTCTTTTCAGAAAGGAGAGTTTCCCCAGGAGCAGGTCTGGCCTTGCAGAAGCATGTAGCAGGAGCTGGGAATCAGAGGGGACCTGAAGATTTCCATCTAGACCTCTTTTCCCTACATTGTTCCCAGGGGACTGAGACAAGATTCATTACTTCTAAAGGATCCTTTAGCTTCTGCTTGAAGGTTGCTTACTTGCAATCATTAAAAATTTCTCCATCAGCTCCAAATGCTATGTCTAGGGGTGGTTCCAAGGTCTGCATAGCAAAAGCAATGCAACAGATCTCCTGGATGAAACTACTGAGGAGGCAAAAGTCCACCTCAGGAGGAAAGGAAATCTTGGGGTTGACGTTCATGGCTCGAATCACGTCCTGAAAAACAAAGAAAGCATCACCTGATTACCACCATGACCCAAGAAACTTACCAGCATAAGTCTGTTCTGACTAACAGGAGATAGGGAAAACTCATGGGGAAAAAAAATCATGACTTGTATTTATCATTTCTTTATTTTTCAACTGTGCAATTTTTTGTGAAAACACTGATTTATTTATCATCTAAAAATAAAAGGAATAATAAACAATAAACAAAAACATAAATTATAAAAATATAAATAACAGAGATAGACTCATGTCTAATGTTATTTTAAATATGTTCATATTTATTATTTTTAAAAATATATTAAATAAAATTTATAAGTAAATAAAACATGACAACTATCATAGCTTGCTTTCACTATATGCCAATATAGCTCACTATGTACCAAGTTTTCTTCTTTTTTTCCCCTATTTTTGGTCTTGGGACCATGCTTACAGTGCTCAGTCTATTCCCAAGCCTGTGTGCTCAGGAGTGACCCCTGGCAGTGTTCTGGGAGCCATATGCCGTGCCAGGTATCAAATCTAGCTGACGAAAGTGGCTGAATGCAAGGAGTGCCTTATCTCCTGGACCATCTCTCCAGTCCTGCTTGCTTTTACTGAATCCTCTCAAGCACTCTATGAAAACATGACCATTATTGTGCTCACTTAAAGATGAGACACTAAAAGTACAAAGATGTTAAGCAAACATGCAAGGTCACACAGCTGGTAAGTGGCAGGACTAGGATGTGAATCCACATCCACCTTCCCAAAGTCATTGCTCTTCAGAACTATCGTATTCTCCCTTCCAGTCTTAAGGACCCCTCTAGGAACTAGGGCTATAAGTACAGAATACTTTTCCTTCACCATAAAATATGTGAGAAATAGACCGCTGACAAGAGCTGGTGCTACCAAACAAGTTGGCTAATGCTTACTTCTGCTCTTTTATTACACAGAACCACTGGATGCATTTCTGAATTCTTAGTATTCAAATGATCAAAGCCATCCTTAATCCAGAAGAAGATGCATATGTGAATTCTGAAAATCACATGCCCACTTGTCTGTTGCATGAAGAATCCAACACTTACGTTAACACTGCTTTGGGAGTCATATAGGTCAAGATGACAAATGATGTAATCTGAGACGGCATCCTCAAAGTCACTGGACCCCACATAAGACGGTGTCAGTGACTTCCTCACACGAATCTTGAAGTGTCTGAATGCCATTTTAGCTACATGGAACGCTTCCTGCACACACAAAAAAAAAATGCAGCCAGTAAATTTGGTGAGGGAGTAAAAAGAGCATAGAGTGACGTAGGTAAGAAATGAAAAACAAGATGGTTATGGGTATAGTGCAGGAACTATGTTCATGGGAAACCATCATTAACAATATTGTAAATCACAGTTTCTCAATCAATAGGAAGAAAGAAATGAAGAAAGAACCCCAACAAAAATGCAACAATTTCCACCTAGACCTCTTATCTTAATCCTAAGTGTAAGAAGCTAGAAAACATAGTTTGAGGAGAAGAAAAATCATCTGTAGTTACATACCTCATTGAAAAGTGCCAACTGATACTAGGATTCCCCAGAAATATGTCATTGACAAATAATAATTAGATAAAATTATCAAGCTACAGAACTCAAGGGCTGGAGCAATAGCACAGGGGGTAGGGCATTTGCCTTGGATGAGGCCAACCTGGTTTGATTCCTCCGTCCCTCTCGGAGAGCCTGGCAAGCTACTGAGAGTATCCCATCCTCACTGCAGAGCCTGGCAAGCTCCCCGTGCGTACTTGATATGCCAAAAACAGTAACAAGTCTCACAATGGAGACATTACTGGTGCCCACTCGAGCAAACTGATGAACAACGGGAGGAACTTAAATGTTTTGCATACTCAACTATTGCATGCCTGTTATGGAATGTGTCCTGAAAAAACTGAGCTTTACATTACAGTCATGGCTTCATGCTACAAGCTTGAACCAACACAGTAAGCAATTCTTAACTATATAAACCAGGGATTGTCAAGTGCTCTTCTACAAAGGCCCAGATAGTAAATAACACAGATCACATAACTGTACCTGTCACTATTTTCCCCCAACCCTTGAAAAATGTGTCACTGTCCCCTGGTGGCCTGGTGCATTTGGGATCAATATACATTCCCCAGGCTGATGGATGGGACAGGCTACAGGCTGGTGGCCAGCAACATTTTAATTGGGATCATACAGAGCTTCTATATATAGGAAAAGAGGGACCAAGCTCCATAAGGGTCTGGGGACAGGGATTAACATGGGTTTGGTTGAACATAAGTATAAGCATGGGTTTGATTGAACACAAACATATGTAAAGCGCTTCCTGCAGGGGAAATTCTGCTAGGACACCTGCCCAGGGGCGGCACTCCATCTCAGGGGCTCCAGCATTCTGGATTCTGGTCCCCAACTGTTCTGTTGTCCTGTTCTCAACCCTTAGGTGGTATTTCTTCTTGAAATACAGACTAGTGAGACCAGACAAGGCCCACAGGTCATACTCTGCGGACTCAGCTTGAAATAAATGAACACAGGAAACATTCGGTCACAGATAATTCAGCTTATAATAAGGTTTGGTTTTATAATCAACTGTCTCTTAACAGACCCTTAACAGACCCTATGTTGCTCCCATAGAACAAGTGTATCTGTTTCAGACTCGAGGCTTTGAGTCTGAAACATATGAGCACTGTTCAACCTGGCGCATTCAAGTTGCTGAAGAGTGGCAGTTTTACTAATTGCGTCAATAAACAAGCACATACACTTTCCCCCTGCTGACAGATGGAAACAGACGGCCATTGATCTGATAGCAACAGATCGACCAGGGTACAAGAGCCTGTATTTGAAAATTCCATCCATACCCACTTAGTATAGACACAAGTATTTACAGTCCTACAGGTATGGGTACTTCACCTGCTGTCTGGTCAATAAATGTTTTAGTTATTGAAGGGAAGGAAGGAGAAAGGAAAGGAGGGGGTGGGAGCGCCGAAGAGGGGAGAGAAAGGAAGGGAAGAGAAGGGAAAGGAGGGATGAGGGATGAGGAATGACGGGAGGGTTGAGGGGAGAAGGGAAAGGAAGGCAAGGGATGGAACAGAGGGAAGGGGAGAAGGGAAGGGAGGGGAGGGGAGGACAGGGGAGGACAGGGGAGGGGAGGACAGGCGAGGGGAGGGGAGGACAGGCGAGGGGAGGGGAGGGGAGGGGAGGGGAGGGGAGGGGAGGGGAGGGGAGGGGAGGGAAGGGAAGGGAAGGGAAGGGAAGGGAAGGGAAGGGAAGGGAAGGGAAGGGAAGGGAAGGGAAGGGAAGGGAAGGGAAGGGAAGGGAAGGGAAGGGAAAGAGCGAGGGGGGGGGGGGGACCCCGGAGTCCCTACGCGCTCCTGCCTCGCCCCCCGCCCCGGGCCCGGGGGCGGGCACCTACCACGGTGGCGATGTAGATGATGCGCTGCACCGTCTCGGCCTTGTCGATGCAGCGCCGCAGCAGGCACTGCGCGTCCAGGCGCGCCTGCGAGTAGGCGTCGCTGAAGCGGGACAGGAGCGCGGCCTTGCGCGCCACGCTCGAGCCCTTGGCGCGGCTCGGGGACGGGCTCCGGGTCTGCGCGGCCAGCGCCGACGGGCTCTCGGGCCGGCTGCGGGAGCGGCTGCCGCCGGGGCTGCACGAGCGGCTGCGGCTGCGCTCGGGGCTCTGGCTCGGGCTGCGGGTCTCGTCCACGCGGTCCACGCGGTCGTGGCGGCTCTGGCTGCGGCTCTCGGGCCGGTGGCGGCTGCGGCTGCGGCTCAGGCTCTCCCGCCGACTGCGGCTCTGGCTCACGGGCCGGCTGCGGCTCATGCTCTCGCGCCGGCTGCGGCTCTGGCTCACGGGCCGGGTGCGCCTGGTGGTGTCCGGGCGGCTGGGGCGCGCAGAGGGGCTGGGGGAGCGGCTCCTGATGGGCCTGCGAGGCAAGGGTCGGGCCGGGAGGCGCTCAGGCTCGAGTCACGCCCCGGGAACCCCAGAGGGGAGCTCCCTCCTCCCCACCCGCGGGTCTGGAGGAGAGACCCAGCGGGTCCCCCTCGTCTGAGATGGGCTCAGAGATGCTCCCCAGCCAAGAAACGAGATTCCTGAGATGCAATCCTGGATTGGCAGGTCTAAAGCAATTCCAACGCACTGGGCATCTCGGGGCACCTTTTCAGCGGTCGCAGAAATTCCAGCGCGCTTTTACAGATGAGGAAATAAATGAAAACTCAGGAAAACTCAGCAAGTACGCCACAGCCACAGAGCCAGCCAGCGAGAGACGGATGTAGAGAAGGAACCCCCCAGCCGCGGAGGACCAGCACCCAGGTATAAGATGGAATGAATGCACGTTGAAAAAAGGAGAAAGAGGATCTTTGTTCTGGTCCCCAGCACTGCTTTTTCATACCAGGGCACTTCCTGTCTCCTGTCCGAGAGTCTGTTTAATATAATATCTCTATAATATCTCTGTCCTGTCTGAGAGTGGGATTTGGAAGACGGGATGAGCTCGTTCATTTGTGAGCTTTTTCTCCATGGGAAAGCGTTGTGACCAGTGCAAAGTCCAGAGTGACCAGATGAGCTAACCCAAAAGGAAAGGGGGAGTTTTATAGAAGAAGCTCTGGGGCCAAGGAAGGGCAAAGCAAACTCTCTGAAGAGGAAAGGGGTAAGGAAAAACCCTCATTTTCAAGGTTTCTCTGGTTCGATGGCATGCCCAGATATCACTCTCAGTGTGACACCTCTGATTCCACAGGGGACAGAGACTCACAGCGTGAGTTCTTGGGAGTTAGAACAAGCTGACAGCAGCACAACCCCGGGGGAGTGATTTCCTCAAATGAAGGGCTAAGGTGACATCTGGGAAAAGATGGGTGTGGACAGCAGTGAGTCAGGGTAGGATTCAGGAGCATGCCAGAGAGGATCCCAACTTATGGAGAAACTGGAAAGAGGAGGAGAAATGTGAACTCCAAAGGAAACCCGGCTGCTTTGCCTCACTGAGGGCAGAGTGAGACACAGGAGTTCAAACACTTGTCTTGCTGACCTTAGATCAATGCCCAGAACTACAAATGGTTCCTGAGCAACAACAGGACCTACTTCTAAGCACATAACCAGAAATAGTCTCTAAGTACTTCTCTGGCCCCCAAGTCAGCAGCAGCAATGATGAAATACACTGAATAATCTGTCTTCATGCTCTGCCCATAATTAGAAAGGGACAGTGTTAGAATTCTAACCAAATGTACACTCTCCATCCAACAAAGGAAGATCTAGCACAAAGATCACCTACAGTAGGATGACATCATCCCTGGAAAGAAAAGGACCTTCGTCTTATAGATCATTCAACAAGAAGGCACCTACTGCAATCCAAACCCATTCCTCACTGTTTTCTTTCCATCTAAGAACTCCCCTTCCTCTCCACTTCATGCCTTAAGACCTTAACATGATCACCTTTTAATTCCTGTATTGCAAACCACAACACCTAAAAGGAGAGAGAGAAAGAAAGAGAGAGAAAGAGAGACAGATAGAGAGAGGTGTCTGCCATATAGGCAGGCTGCAGGTGGAGGTGGCAGGAGGGAAACTGGGGACATTGGTGGTGGGAAATGTACTCTGGCAGAAGGATGGGCATTGGAACACTGTCTGACTGAAACCCAATCCTGAACACCTTTGTAACTGCGTGGTGATTCAATAAAATAAATATACATTCGCCACCAAATCAAACCAAAACACCCCAACATCAGCCCCAAATCAGTGCATGCATTGGTGTTCACAATCCAGAAAGTGTTTCCTCTTGCTGGAAGGTTGCAAGTGACAGAAAGCAACCTCTTTTACCATTCAAAACTATGAATATGGTTGATTGGGGATCAGGATATCATTTTATCTCCTCTCCTTTCCTATCCAAAACCAAAAAATATATATAATCATTCAACCAAGAGAGTTTAAAATGGAATGCTCTATAAAATAGGTCAGACCTTCCTTGGAGTGACGTTTTCTCAGCAGATAAAACAGCTATCTCGTCCTTCAAGTTCCGGACCTGCTTCTCATAATCGGATATGCCCGAGTTCTGCTGATCCACAATGGATGGCCTCTCACTAGTGGACGAATCAATCGTGGTTCTCCTTCTCTCCAGGAGTCTATTGTCTGGAGCCCGCTTTTCTGAGAACCTCAATTCTGACTCCCGAGGTATTTCTGAGCGCCTAAATTCCGAGTTTCGCTGGTCAATGCTGCTTCTATGACGTGCCTCTTCCTGGGCTTGAAGAGATTTTAGCCTGAACAGGGAAATTCAAAAAAAAGTTATGATGAGAAAGAGAAAGAATGAAGAAATAAGCAACACTTAAAGTATTTAATAACAGCAGTTATTCCACTGAGTATGCCATCATTACTTGGGAAAAGCTGATAGAAATTTAGAGGAACAAGCACAGATGAATCAAGGGCCGAATTGCTAGGGTTGAGGTGCGCTTCATTTCTGCAGCTTGTTCAGATAAAGGGGTAAAAGATCAGACACTCGGGCTGATACTTTAGCAGAGCAGAGTGAGCTTCAGTCCCACTGTCCCATATCAGACTGAGCTGAACTACACCAAACTCTGCAAGCGCTGACCTCCAAAAGCTACCTTCCAAACTGCTCAGATACTGTCTCATCTCACTAGCTCAAGTTTTTTGAAACAGCTAGACACTGAAGGAGACAATCCTATGGAAATGGACTAACACCCACAATGCTAGGAGGAAGTCTAGGCTTATGAGCCTACTATTACAGAAATAAAGGTTTTGAAATATTAGCATCATTAAAATACAGAGGTCTGGCCATCATTAAATACTAGTAAAACTCATAAGAAGATACTCAGGGATGAAAATGACAAATAATATAGGATAAAAGGGAAAGGACTGGATCTTTTCAAGAACATAGGAAGGCTAAAAATGCAACCACCACATTCAAAGCTGCACTCACTAGGAACAGTGAAGAATGAGATTGGTGCTACAGGAAATCAATATAATCAAAGAATCTGAGAAGATATAGCAAATAGGAAGTAAGAGATTAAAGTGATGACAAAGGAAACATCAAATAGAAAGTGGAGCAGTTCTCCCAGCTAAAATGTATGGGTGTTCCTGAAGAAATGACAACCGGTAAACATGGGAAGCGGGCAGAAAGATGCTTGTGTCTCTAGGTATATTTATATGTTTACAATTTAGAAATATTTATGTTTTAGTCCAATTCCCATTACTATTTTAGGGAGGGATTCAAAATTAAGATCAAGAAAGGAATAACTATTGGAGAAACAGTACAGGGATTAAGGCGCGTGTCTTTCACATAGCTGAGGGTTCAACCCCCGGCACCCCATGTGGTCCCCTGAGCCCTACCAGGAATTATTCCTGTGCAGAGGCAGGAGTAAGTCATGAGCACAACCTAGTATATAGGGAAAATAAGGAATAATAAGAGATTGGTGGGTTGTTTTCCCCTATAGAAAGTTTTTAGAGTAATCTGATATGTAAACTGAAATTTTTGAGTAATCTGATATGTAAACTAAGATTTGCCACCAAAATGAGCACAGTATTATTTCCAATGTTGAAAAATGAGTGTCAAATATCCAATACTAAGAAATACCTAAAAGTGATGAAACAAGAGAAACTAAATCATGAAACTAAATCATGGTATGTTTATCTTAAAAACAAACTATTTAAATAAAACATAATGTCTTCCAAAGTTGTGCGTTTAAGATTTAGTTTGTAGTTTTGACTCATTAATTGGAAGAAATTATGAAATAGTAAGAGGAACTGAATCTGGAATTATGAGAAAATTTTAGGTTCTTTGTATCTAGGAAATGTTAATAGGTCATGTTTTTGTAGTAAGAAAGACATAGACATCATTAATAAAAATATTTCTGCCTTTTATCTTGGATAGCAAAAAAAAGAACCTTTCATATTGTAATGGAGAGCTAAACTTAGAGATTAATCAGCAGGCTGCAATTATCCTGTCATATTTCTTACTGCTTTCTTAGCTGATTTATTTCCTCCTCTGCAGCCATAATGGATATGGACGATCTGTCCTTGTTGTCTTCAAGAGTCTTTTCAGTTGCAGACATACTGTAAGAGAAATCAGTAACGAAAGAGATTTTCCAGAATTGGCATACTTTCTAAATCAAGACATAGGTTCTCAACAACTTTTGACATAATACATAAATGCAACATAAACAAGGTCGAATTATAAGAAGTCTGCATCCAATCAGATGATATTGAAAATATTATGGTGCACTTGTATACAATTTATGCCAGTATCCTTTCTCTATGTCAAACACAAAGACAGTACAGAGTAATACCCACTTAAAGGACTATTAATAGTTGTTAATCTTGCAATGTTTTAGAAATTAAGACTTGGTCATTCTTCTCTCCCCTTCAAATTCACCTTCAATAATTACACCAAATTCCCAGGCTGTCTCTTTCTATGAAAACTCCATTTGTGGGCAACAGAATAAAACCTATTCTCTTTAACTTTGCCCTGTCGATCTATATTTGACTTCATTTCCCCAAACTTCTTAAATAAAAGTAAATAAAGGAAATCCTCCACCATTACACTTAGCTACCAACTATTTTGTGTCTTCAGATCTCTTCCGCCACTTACTAAGCATGATTTTCCTTAATTTTCACCATAGCTCAAGGCTTTGTCAATATCAAGGACTCTCTTGCCTATACACAATCAAAATAGCATATTTTATTACATGACCATTGCAGATTTTTGCCAAACTGTTTTTCAAAAAAAAAAAAGTGAGGTGTGACCATTGTGAAGCTTTTAGAAAGGGTTGTAAACCAGTTTTATTAACTAAGGTGGGGGAAGAGGGGGAAATGTGACCATTATGCAGTTAAATAGGGTAAATAATACTGTTTTCTAATTCTCTCTGAATTTGAAAAAAAAAATGGCAGTGTGAAAGATTACCCTGGATGAACACCAATAGCTCTTCTTAAGTTGTTCTGATGCAGGGAGAGATCCTGGGGTGGGGGTCAAAGGCATCCTCACTTTTCAGATCCTTCTGCCCTGGCCCCAGCAGCCTACTTTCATCACTGTGATGCTGAGTCTGAGAGTGAGCAATTGCTTTAGAAACTCACACCAGTCTTCTGCCTTGCCCTCAAATGTAAATAGGGAAGACCAGGCTCTGGTCTCTGCCCTCTCCCTAGACAGAGATGCAGACTTCTAATCTTCAGATCCACACCAATCAGAAAATACACAAAAGAGGAGTTACCACAATTCCAGCCCACCTACTCCTCTAGCTCACATCTACCCATCCTGCACCAGAATCTCCAAGTGTCTCTCTTCTGCTCCAGCACTCCCAACGCTTCACCATCAATCTATCAATAAGACATCATCTCTTTACAAACACACCATGAGTAATATGAAGGAAAAGATTCTATCTTGTTATCCACTTTATCCTAGCACGTACAAACATGTTTTGTCACAATAAATTGGAGCAGGGGGGAAGATGAATGAGTGGGACTCTGAAAGCCTAAAGCAAAGTAACAATAGCATCACAGTAGGGCTACAGGAGATGGACAGGAAAATGTGAATATTATTGCTCCTTAAAGCATATATAGGAAAATAAACTTTTTTATCAAGAGAAAACTGTCAAAACTGAATAAAAAGTACCAAGAAAGGAGACAGTATATAAATAGGAACAAGGTATTTTCTCTCTCAAGATATGTAAGAACATGAACACAGAAGCAAACATTCTGCTAATTGGGTACCCTGGCATAATATAGAGAGAGAAGAAATGAGAGTATTTCATGTCAAACATTATTTTCAGCATTATCTTAACCTTAACATATTTTCTTTAATTTTTTTTTTGTTCATTGAGTCAATTTACTCTGTGCCAGGCATGGTGGCAAATGCTAGAGATATAAGGGTTTTATCATGGCAATACAAGGGAGTAACCCTTTGTTAGGAGTCCTAACATAAATATATAAATTCTTTTTATGTTTGAAATTGTAGTAAGTGCTTCTTTTGTAGCATTACAAAAGGAGATTAAAGGAGAAGAGCAGGGAGCTTTCTAGGGAAATCACTCCCAAGTTGAAAGAAAGGATAACAAAGAACCAGCCCTTCAACAAGGACAGTAGAAGACTCCTCTGTTCCTTTGCCATAACAAAGTACAAATAGATTTTGACTAGATGAGGAGAAACCGGTTTGAGCTGGAGACAAGAGTCAGGCTACATCACACAAGGCTGTGATGTGGAGTTTCAATTCCCCTCCCTTACCCCAATATAAAGAAAGACACTGAGTTTTCAAGCCGGGAGAGTGACTTGATAGCATAACATAACTATATTTGCTATGTGGAAATTGGATTGTAAGCAAGCAAGAGTGAATGGAAGCAAAGAAGTCATTTGGAAGGCATCTAGCTGGTTAAATATTGTCAAACTGAACTGGACAATGGTAATAAAAGGTTGCACGGGGGAAGGAACAAATGTAGGAGATGTTTAGGTGGTATATCCAAGCAGAGAACCAAACAGATTGAAAAGAGAAAACGAGAACAAGACTGACAGTGAAAGCCAAGCATACACACCAATGGTCTCCTCTTGTGTAAGATCTGTCACACATGATAAGAACTGTCCTTACTCAGCATTAAATTGGAATCTGGTTTCTATAGGTTTAGAGGGAGTGAAGTTCCTTAATTGTACAGTAGGTGACACTCTGGTTTTAGAGATAAGTAGGCAGAGTGAGAGAGCTGTGTCCACCATAATATTGAGGAAAAGGCAACATTTGAGATTTGTGTGAAAGGGTAGAAAGGACATAAAAGGGTGTGCTTAGGAGTATTCTTGCAGCTTTTCTGTGTTTACAGTTATTGCAAAGTAAGGGGTTTATTTTATTTTTTTGATAAAATTTTTTTGTATGTTTGGGAAACCACCACAATAAAGATAAATGCATCTATGTCACATCTATGCATTCCATTGAACACATCTCTCAGAGCATTCTGTAACTCTTCCCTCCTACCCAATGTCAAGGGAGTTGCTTTTAAAGCGTGTGTTCATAAATAGTCTGAGGTGGGGATGGGTTGAGGAGGGTGTCATATTTATGGGTACCTACAGGACAATAGGAAAGAATTCTTGACTCCACATTGTGCTAAAAGAAGTCAGAAACCAGCAAAGTTTTATAAAGGGGCCTGGTCAATATCAGCAGCTGCCAGTGAATGCCCAAGAGATCTTCCCAGAAGAACCAAAACTCAGCACCCATCAGTACAGGACCCTAGTGTCCAGGTAGAACTGAGGTCAGCAAGAGTCCAGAGGATAACATCCAAAGCCCTTCTCTTTCAGTGCCAAGAGATCATGCAAGCATTATTCTTCCCTAGATGCCAATCAAAGGAAGAATGGAGACAGTGAGCCCTTGAAGAGGGCCAAAAATCGTTTGTAACCAACTTAGAAATAACTAACTACCTTGAAGGAACCAAAACAAACCTACAAAGAGATTTCAACTTTAAGGATCTGCCTCACTGCACTCCGAATCAGCTAACCTGAATTAAAATCAGTTGCAGAAATTCAAAGGAAATACTGTTTGCAGAATGTGTTTGGTAACTGTTTTCTACTACAGCTATAAAACTGCCCTGATAACAACTCCCACTGTGAAAATGAACGAATGGACGGGGGTAACTATGGATATGTGTGTGGGGACACACACACATACAAACATCTGGCCTGGGATATACTAAAATGTTCACAGAGATGAGCTAACAGGTGGTGTTCATCTTTATGCTGTTGTTTGTCAGGTGCACACTGAGGAGAAAATGTGTTCTACTTGGATCATCATGAAATGAAATCAGTAGAGATGGTTCCCTTTATAGGAAATATCTTCAGAAAACTAGGCAGAAGGCCACACCTCCTTCCATCTCTTGCCTTAACTAGGTTCAAAAAAGAATTTCTAGCTGTCTTACACATGTCAGAGATGGGGGCAATGCTGGATCATCCAAATTCCTTACTGATGGCAAGGGATACTGAATGCAGTTTATTCCCATTTATCTATCTTTGTTAAATACAAATTCAAAGGTTATTTTTAGTGATGATCACTTGAGTTTACTCTCCCCATTTCTACATAAAGAATATATCAGCTGGGGCTAGAGTAATAGCAGAGCAGGCAGGGTGTTTCCCTTGCATGCGGCCAACCCGGGTTCGATTCCCAGCATCCCATATGGTCCCCCAAGCACCGCCAGGAGTGATTTCTGAGTGCAGACCAGGAATAACCCCTGAGCATCGGCTGGGTGTGACCCAAAAAGCAAAAAAAAAAAAAAAAAGAATATACCAGCTGCTGTCTATTGATGAATGGCAATGCTTAGCTTTTTTAATATACCTTTCTACTTAGTAGCCATTCCCCCAAATGCAACTGTTCATTCTTTATGGAGTTGGACTCTCTTGGTCAGGTGCATATATCCCCTACATGAGTCTCTCTGGCAGTCACAAACAGCCTATTCCATACAACTTTTGCTTGTTCTGCCTAAATTTTTCTCTTGAGCTCATCTATAACCCTGCTTAACCCTTCCCATCTGCATCCCTTATTGTTTTCCTTTCAAAAGGAAAATTTTTATGTAGCCCTCTTCCTCTGTTCTTCACTATGGGTATTGATAGGTGTATGGGGTATTGATGGGTGTATGGAGAAGATGAAACTCTAGAAATGGAGTTAAGGTGCTCAGGATTCTAGGGGTCATAATATTTATATATCATTTCCAAATCTAAATATAGTGACTCCTAACTCTCTCCTCTTTCACCCTTTTCCTCATTCTCTCCCTCATCTCTTACCCCATATATCAAATCACTTATTTGAAAGTATATACATTTTATGAGTCATTATTATTCCCTCAAATATAAGACATTACATTACGAACTAACAATTCTTTTTAGAAAAAGATAACTTGCATTCCTCTTACTCGTCTTGAACCTGGTTGAGCTGAGAACGAGTTGAGTTCAAGTCAGAATCTAATTGTCTAAAATCTTGCTCACGAAGAACAGACTCTCGTCTCTCCTTCTCAAATGAGTCCTGGATTGATACAAAAATCCCAGAAAAAGAGCCTGAATAAAAATCATAACAAGGGCAGACTGCAAAAACACTGTGTTGGGCTAAAGAAGCCAAGTACAAAAGAACACATCCTAAGTGATTTCATTTACCTGAAGTTGTATTGGGAAAACTGATCTCAAGAGATACCTGGAAGGTGAATGGAAGTAGAACCAGAAAATGCATTGTTGCAGGGAAATGTTTTCTGACCTTTCCTATAAGTTACAAGGATGCCTGCATCGATCAAAATTCAGTGCCCTGGGACCAGAGCAATAGCACAACAGGGTGTTTGCTTTGCACACAGCTGACCCAGGTTCCATCCCCGGAACCCCATACAGTTCCTGAAGCACCACCAGGAGTGATTTCCTGACTGCTGATCCCTGAATTAGCCCTAAGCACTATCTGGTGTGCCCCCACCCACAAAAATTAATTTAGTGTCCTATGGTTTCCACCATTGTTAAACTATATCTCAATATTTATAAAGATATTGAAATATCATCCTATATTTCTATATCTAGACCTATGCTGTAGAGGTCAGTAGCAAAATTTTGCTTCACGACAAGTGACAAGCTAAATTGTTTCACATAACAATCACCTCTAAGTTTTACAGGAACCTTAGGTCATTAAAAGCATCATTCCCACTCAGTATATGAAGAAACTTAGACATAAAAAAAATTATATCAACCTACCCAGGGCCATAAGAAATGGAGTATAATTCAGTGATACTTAACCATCTCCCATGGTCCCCTTAATTAGAAAAGTTTGCTTTTATTTCAGAAGGAACTTAAGTACATCAACACAAGCCTTAAAAATTAAGGCGACTGCCTACCCAAGGTTTTGCATGCTCAGAAATAATGATACAGTGCCATAAGGAAGGTTTGTATTCTCTTACCCTTCCTCTCCTAGAAAAGTAAACACTGTCCTATTGAAACCACCAACTTTGACCGAAATTGTAACACACTTTCTTTCTACCAGAAACTAAGTTTTCCTCTGATCTTGGAAGTTTCCCATTCATTTATTTAATTTTTCAGCATACTGAACTTTCCCCCACCTGAGGAACTCTTTCTCTTCTGAATCCCCATTCAGGGTACCCTACCTGTCCAGATGACTTCTATGTGTCACTTAAAAGTTAGGCAACTGGGGTCAGAGCAACAGAGCAACAGGTAGAGTGTTTGCCTTGCAAGTGGCTAACCTAGGTTTGATCCCTGGCACCTTATAAAGTCCACCAACCCCCACCAGGAATGATCTTTGGGCACAGAACCAGAAGAAAATTCTGAACACTGCTGGGATGACCTCAAAACAAAAGAAAACAATAAAAAAAAATTATGCCCACCTCATGCCAGGTCCCAGAGGACATGGAGGCAATGTCCCAGAGAGAAAGCATTGGCTGTTATGTCAAGTCACCCCACTACCAAGTAGACCAGGCTAAGATTTGAAGACAGGTCTATCTTGAGAGAAAACCCAATCCATTATTATCACTTTCAACAGTTTTCCATGTTCCAATTCCCTGAGTGGAGTGGAACCGCTCACCAGATGCATGAACTGTGTCTTAGGTATGGTTTGTGTGTCCAGCACTTAGGAAGTGGGCTGCAAGTCAAAGGGGGTAGGGGTGCCTTTAGTGTCCCTACCTGTAGAGAGGGGAGCATGATGTCAACCGATTTCCCTGCCGTGGCAGAATTAAAAGATGTCTCCAGCCAAGGCAAAAGACGTGATTTGATAACTTCCATGCCGTCAAAGTGTCCTCCTAGAAGAATCCACAAATCAGACCAGGGAGAGAAATCTGCCCTCTCCACCTCAGTAAGGGTGCACAGAAAAGCACCACAGTAAAAGAGGTGATGGCAAGAGCAATAATACATTTGTTAAAGACGTGCTTGCCTCACACAGGTTTGATTCCCCGCATCACATCCCAAGCTCTGCCAAGAGTGAGACCAGATACCAAAATCAAGGAAAAGGGCACACAGGATGGAAGAGCCTGGACGAGGCTTCCTCACCTTCTTGGGCTGATTCTGAGAGGATCTTGAAGAACTGTCCCTGGACTCTGGCAATTTGTTCAATGAATTCCAGACACGTGTTCAGATTTACGTCGCATGAGTTGTTCTGCAAAACCAAGAGAAGAGACATGATCTATGCAATTCCTGACTCCAGGGTACACTGCAGGAAATGGAGCCTCTCTTTGTACAGATTCTTCCTGCCTCTGGGATGCCCCAGGAGGGAGCAATGGCTGAATGTTCACCAAAATGCATGCCTGGTCCTCCTGCGCACACAGCTGGACCATCCTCCCACCCTCACCTGGCAGGGTGCGTGGAAGTACGGCCGAGCTCTGGAACTGGAGGGATAGTGAGCTGTGTTGCTTCTGTAGTACCCAGAAGAATAGCTCTTCAGTGAGTCTCCTCTATCTCACTCTAGGCAGTCCAATGCAGAGCACCAAAGAAATGAGCCTCTGGTCAGAAGAGTATGGAACTGCAGAGTTAGAAAGCTGCTCACCAAAAACTTGCATTGAACTTTTGGAGAATTGAGAAAGCTTTATGGCTATTGAGTCAGGGAAATTTGGAAGTTGTTTGCTTGTGTTTTTGGTTTTGTGTGGGGCCACACCTAGTGGTGCTTATACTTGGCTTACACCTGGATCCGTGCTCAGGGACTACTCTTGTTGGGACTTAGGGGACCATGTAGTGCCTGTCTCCATTCTGTCTCAATGGACTCACTGTCTCCATTCTTTCTTTGGCGCATGCAAGACAATTGCTTTATGCACTGTGCAATCTCTCCGGTATACTAGAGAGACAGTCCAGCAAATTGGAATACTAGCTTTGTATACCAATAACTCTGACTCCCTTTTCTCAATGGAAACCTGGAAAAAAAAATCTCAGGGACAAGAAAGATAGTACAGCAGGCAGGGTGCTTGCCTTGCAAGCAGTCAGTCAAGGTTCAATTCCTGCCACTTTATACAGTCCCCCAGGCACTGCCAGGAATGATCCCTGAGTACAGAGCCAGGAGTAGCCCTGAGCACTGCCTGCTGACTGAGGCCCAAACACAAACACCTAGTGGTGCTTACAATGGCTTACACCTGGATCAGGTATTTTCTTTGCTAGCAAAGAAAACTAGCACCATGACAAATCCCAAATTTCTTGATTTATCTGTTTTATTGGTCCTGGTGCTCAACCTAAGTTCAGTATAGTATAAAGAGTCTGGATTCTTGTGGATACAATAGACCAATACAGAAAATATAGCCCAGAGGTCCATGCACCTAGTAAGGGAGTTAGGAGAGCAGACAATATTGGATGAATAAATGAATGAGTGATTTAACAGCATGATATTCACAGCCTCTGTTTCATTTCTCTGAATGTTTCACTCATGCACTGTAGCACTGCACTGTTCTTCCGTTGTTCGATTTACTGGAGCGGGCCCAGTAACGTCTCCATTGTGACACTTGTTACTGTGTTTGGCATATTGAATACGTCACGAGTAGTTTGCCAGGTTTTGCTGTGCGGGCGAGATACTCTCAGTAGCTTGCCTACAGGGCTCCGAGAAGGGCAGAGGAATCGAACTTGGGTCAGCCAGGTCGGCTGGGCTGCATGCAAGGCAAACGTGCTATCACTCCACGCTTACATTTGTCTGAAATTCAATTAGGGGCTTCCAAGCTTTTGTTCTCTAGCTAGATCATGCTCTGTACTAACTGAGCAGAGAAGGCATTTGGGATTTAAGAAGGCCTGATGATGCAAAATTTGTTACAATTCTGTGTGCTCTGACCCCATAAAAACAAGGAAAATGTCTTGCAAAAGAATTAAATCAAAATAATGCACATCCCATGCCTTAGGGAGAGGAGGTCCTTAAGAGTTAGACCTACAAGATGGTGTGCAGTAGTGAAAACAACAATGAGTTCAGGAATTGTAGGATAACACTGTTTTGTCCTTCCTGCATAACCTCCGGTAGTTTAGATTTATTGGGTTACTCCCATCACAGTGTTCCCATTCCTCTGGAAACACTGTTTATTTGTAACTTTGTGCTCTATTGACTTGTAAATATTGTTTTTCTCTTCTCCCTAAGTCCTTTGCATAGTTTATTCAGAGCAATGTCCTTTTTGTACGTACACAAGAAGACATGCTTTTGTAATGTGACTCTCAGTGATATTTCCCTCTTGGGCATCTGTTCTCTCACCTAAGCCTCAGCTGCGCTTTCTTCCTAGCACCCCAATAGCAGGGTCCCAACAAGGAACTGGATGGAACCAGGGCAAGCGGTAAACTATGTGCTATCCTGGCATCGAGATGGGCCTGGCCAAAGTGCCATAATGCTTAACTATAAATTAAGAGCTTGGTCATGGACAAATGCTGTCATGATCCAAAAAGTAATAACTAGATTTGAACCCTGCTAGGGTTAGGAATGATTAATCTGGCCTGAGCATCGTAGTCTGAGTCTGTGGCTAGATGTTCCCAGGAGAGTTACCCAACAAGCCTTAATGTTATCTCTTACTGTGTCAAAAATAACTAGTATTGAGATGTTGATAGTTATTGGACTAGGGAAAAGAGAAAAATACCTTAAGGGATATTTTGCCCTTGGGCAGTCGGGAAGGGCTTTGGAATATCCTAGGAGGTGTTCCCTTTGAATTTGGTGGGCTTTCTTATGTTGATTTGGCTAACTGACTGGGGTCAGTGTCAGCCTGGAGAGATAAGGGAGTTGGAGAGAGAGGATAGGGGAGACAGGAGTGAATGAAGAGAGGATTGGAATAAACTGCAACTAAGACCAACCATCCTGGCTCTTATTTCTCCCTTCAGCTGCCCTTGGCCAACAGCCGTCCTAATCCAGGCCACACACAGCGGCTCTAGAGCATCGAACGTGGGCAGTGAGATAGAGCTGTCCAGAGAGCCCACCTTCAGCATGCATAGATTTTACAAGGAATAATGCAGACCCTGGCTCAGTCTGATTCTTTAGCTGTTGGTTTCTTTTATTTTTTATAGATCCCATGTGTGCTTAGAGGCAGTGCTGGGGGTCAAAACCAGGACTTCAAACATACAAAGATGTAAATCACCACTTGAATCACATCTCTAACCTTAATTCTCTTCATTTTAAATATGATCCTCTGTTTCCTTGTATTTAGGAGGTGGTGAGTCTCATGAGATAAAGCAGAGATGGTAAAACAACATTAGAAGAATAATGTAGTTGTAACAGTATATGCCCTTATGCCTTGCTTGTGACCTGTAGGTATAACTTGGTGCCCCAAAGAATGTTTGTCTAATGTGTTTGTTCACACAACTTACAGAACAAAAGAGAATATATTACTTTAGGCAACTCCCATTTCCAAGACATGTCACTACATGCTATGACTACTAACAGAAGGCATTGCACAAGATATTCTATTTGCAAAAGGATCACATTATTCTATAAACATGTACTTACACAAATAGAGAAATTATTTGAACTAATCATGCTGTTTCCTGTTGCCAGAGCAGATTTCCCAAAGTTTATTCGTTCATAAATCATTGAGATCCTAAAATGTGTTAAGAGATTGGACTGACAGCTCAGGAAACAAACCAACAGTAGGGGGAAAAAGATAATTTCTGCTACTAATGAGCTAGCTCTACAGTTGAGGAAATGTAATGGAGAATCCGAGATACCTGGGGACTAAATATTTACCTTCTAATTCACTCAGTGCTCTGTGAGGACAATGAGTTGTACAAGAGCAAATGAGCAATGGTGAAGGGTGAGGAGAGAGAGAAGGAGCAGCAGGCACCCAGGCAAGAAGCAATGAATCATCTGATAGAGAAAAAATGGACTCGAGCCCTTTGTCAACTTACAACAGGGTTACTCCCCAATAAACATAAATTGAAAATAATATAGGTGGGAAATGCATTTCTGAGATATTGCTTCACCGTGTGGCATAATGGTCCAAAAGGCAGGAAGAAATGACTGTTGGGAAGAATGTAAAGAAAAGGGAACCCTCATATACTATTGGTGGGAGTGCAAGTTGGTGTAGCCACTATGCAAAACAGTACAAAGATTCCTCAACAAAAATAAGAATAGAATAATTCTATGAGTCAGCTACTTGATTTTATCTGAAGATGACCAAAGGCACCATTTAAAAAGGATAGCTGGTAGGGGCTGGAACAATAATACAGCAGGTAGGGTGTTTACCTAACACACGGTCAAACTAGGTTTGGTCTCTGGCACTCCCTATAGTCCCTGAGCACTGCCAGGAGTGATCCCGGAGCACAGAGCCAAAAGTGAACACCAATGGGTGCAGCCCCTCCTCACAAAACAATAATAATAATTTGAAAAAGACACATATTCATTTGCACACTGTGTCCATGTAAGCATTATTTTCAATAGCCAAGATCGAGAAACAACCTAAATACCCCTAAAAGATTAAACAGGCAAAGAAGACATAAAACTATTCACAAAGACTGACTCTGTTGTGTAAAATGATGAAACCTGGCAATTTTTAGCAACAAAGATGGGCTCTGAGAGTTTTTTGCTAAGTACAATAAGACAGATGCTAAATTTAATGCTAAGTACAAGAAGACTGATGCTTACTATGCTAAGTACAAATCTCAAGATGAATACCATGACATTTTATTAACCTGTGAAAAATTACTAAACCAAACCAAACTAAAGAAAAAACCCCTCTTAGTCTGTAAGAAAAAAATAGCATTAGCCAGAAGGGAAGGGGAAAGGGTCAGTTGTATGGTAAAGGAAGAAAACAAGACTTTTGGGGTTGACATCATAGTGAGGCATATGCAGATGTCAGATTATAATGGTTACACCTGAACTTTATGTTACATAAACTGATGTGACTGCAATAAAAAAATGCAATATATTTCAAATAACCCACCAAAATTGCTGTGGGCTCTCCTATTCACATTTGTCTTCAGTTTGACAGCACCAACTAATCCTCTTGATTACCTGATGACTGATGAAGGTGACTGTGTATCACTTTCACATCATCATAAAGTCAAAAATCATAAGATGAATTAAGTCAGAAACTGTCTGTTCAGGGTACAGAGACCAAGTACTGATACTTTATTGGCCCCATGAAAACTTCTGGACTTTACCCCATCATTGAAAACTTTAATGGTACAAGCAGAGTAAGGTAGATTTGTTTTGCATTT